GTAATATTGATCACACTGTCCACCCTAAAAAGCTTGTCTCTTTATGTTGGAGATCAGGATCAAACCAATGGGTTATTTTCCATCTAGATTTCAAGTTAATTGAGTTCTTTGATCGATGAACACCAAGATCATGGTTTTATTTTTATTTTTTTTTAAATCTCCTGGATAGGGGTTATCTGAAAAATCTCATTTTGATCAATAATAGGAGATATAAGCCTATAAGCACAACAATAACTAACACTACTCATGCTACTAGTAATCCGATTTGGATTAATCAAGGTAGGTTGAGTGTAACAAGAAACTGTTTTTGCACATACTAGGGGTTGGAGCTTAATTTTGAGAACAGATATCACCTCAGAACATTCTAATGTTGCACCCCTGTCTATTTTTATATACACATGATCTTGAAAGCTATTTTGACACTGATTTTATGATCTAGGCCAGATGAGGCTGGTAGTCAAACCTCCTGTGTTAACAGACATTTGAGAGTTGATTTTTTCTTCTTCAAACTGTTGGAGTTTATGTTTAATTTAAAGACAAGTGTCTGATGCTCGCATGACCCCGAAATACTGTAGTGTGCATATCACAAGTAGAATTTCATCTCCTTTTATGCCATCTTCTAGAAATATGTTACTTTCTCCATATAAAAGTTGATTTCTCCAGCCGCAGATTTATCATTTTTGAGCTATGATCAACAAAATAATTTGAGAAACTACAAGAATATTGACGTACTCACTCTCCAACATAGGAAGTCCCCCACAATTGTTATTGATTTCCTCTAGAGGATGATAATGTTTCTTCTGGAAACCAAATATTAAAGGTATTAGATGGTTGGAGGCGATTGGCAAGAAGTCTTGGACCTTGGGCTCAGAGCCCGAATAGCTCAGTGCCGGTAACGTCTCTGACTGCACCCCCCTGGGTGACGTAGGTTCTAATCTCAGAAAGGACACTGGTTTCTTTCAACGTTACAGATAGGCCTTGTTGACTGGTGAGTGCCGAATAACACGAAACCTAGATGTTCAAGGCTTCCTGTGGCTGATTGTCTCCAACCATCTAATATCAGTAATTCATAGTGCACCGTGATGGCGAGTCACCTAGCATGGTGGCCACATTGCAAACTTGACTGATAGAATTCACTCTTCACCAAAGATAGGACTAGACACATTACACTAGTTACTGACTAGTGTCCAGTCAAATATTAACGAAATAATTTTAACCACGAATGCAGGAGTCTCTGCTGTTTGCAGGATGAAAGAGAAAAAGATTATTCAATATTAGTTTTATAGCCTGTTTGGACCGGATGGTCTAATATCAAACAGTTGATGGTTTTATTCAAAAATTATTTAAAATAATCCCAGCGTGTTTGAAAGGAAAAAAATCAAAACAAGATTTTTCTGAACGTTTCGCTGTGTAAGTGGCCACAGCTTCTTCTTCTTCAGCAGAATTATTCGGATTTCATTAACCAGCATCAAAATATATAGTCAAAAGTTCCGTCAATTGAAGTGAGCATCCTTTGAAGGTCACTTTTCGGTAGACATTTGTACCAACAGAAAAGTGTAAACAGTCATTTTATTTATGTATTTTATTACAGCTTGACTTCATACAGCATTTCGGCAAAGGTATGGAATTTTCAGCATAAGATATCGGTAGCCCAAATTTTGCAGGCCGATCATAGGTATCAGTTGTGCGTCGGCCGGGAATCGAATCCAGGACCATTTGTATGGTCGGCAGGCGTCCTAACCACTGTGCCACCGACATATCATATATTTGTAATGACTAATGATTCAATCTGACTCGACGCTCAAATTATTCCAGGAAATTCGTAACATTTACAGTCTGGAAACTTATAACGTTGATGGTTTTTACTATCTGATATCAAATAAATTACTAAAAGCTTCTAGGTGCCAAATACTTCAAACTGCAGAGCTTATTGCAGTTCGCTTAAAACAACCGGAGTTCTGTGTGCAAAAGAAACAGGTCGAGCAAATATTGCTACTCTGGCCTTCTGTGGAACCGAGGAATTTATAAATTTATTATTTTTCCTAATTTGTATGATATTCAGGCGGGAAAGAATCACCAACAAGAAACTATGGGAACAAATAAAACAAGAACCAATCGCCCAACAAATATGCAGGAGAAAGTGGAGATGGATTGGACACTCGCTGAGGAGGCCTCTGGGTGACATCGCGCGTCAGGCCAAAGCTCGAGTGGAACCCGAAAGGGAAGTGACGAGTAGTGGGACGTCAGTGAAAGGGTGACATGGAGAAGATCGTATGAAGAGGAGCTGAAACAGTATGGACTAACATGGATGCAGGTGGAAAGTACAGCAGAAGACAGAAGCCAGTGGAGACGTGTAGTTGAAGCCCCATGTTCCACTAGGAACCCAAGGGTACAATAATAATTATTATTATCAAAATTACAAATGCTTTTGAACTGTAGTGCATTGTTACAATAGATCTGATGTTATTTATTTAATACAAGCCTACCAACTGTGATCATTGATATTTTTTAAAACTGTGGTTGGCTGCATCATGCAATGATTGTGAGAAGTCACAGGAAATGAATATGCTGAACCGATAAAAAGACTCTAGGAGATCTAGACAGAGGACGATTTCTGTCTGTCGAATAAATTTGATGACATACGGGGAAAAACTAAAAAAACTTGTCCGACCAAGCAGTAAAGATGGGATATCAGGTAAACATAGAGAAGACAGAGGTGATGACGATAGCCAAACAACAGCAACAAGCACTATAAACGGGAGAAATTTGAAAGAAGCAGCTTCCTTCACTTATTTAGGAAGCATTGTTTCAACTGTAGGCGACAGCACAGATGGTGATGTCAAAACCAAAATCAGACAGGCAAGACAGATGTGCATCACTCTGAGATCTGTTTGGAAATCTTCTGCACACAGTCAGAATAAAGAATGAAATTCGGATTTTCAACACCAATGTAAAGTCAATCATCTCAGTTGGTCGTCTCGTGTCCTGTTGATTTCTAAGAAAATTTCTCGTTTGACTTATCAGGCAAAGAAGTTGAGACTTTCTGGAATAACTCAGCTTCTTCCATGTTCTTACAATTTATGAATTCATGTATTCCGCCCATTCTCCTTTATTGTTCGCCATTATTCTTCCCTGGACTTCTCAAAAAAGACTATGTCATATTACGTAGAACACTGAAGACTGTAAGTTGGGTTAGTGGTGTGCCTTTGACTCAGCTAACTGACATTATTGTCAATAGGCACTTCAATTCTTGCAAGTAGTTGGCTAAAGTTGACTTGGTTGATACTGAACATCCTCTTTATTCTCCACTTTCTCTTTGTATCTCTCTTGGGGATAAAACCACAAGAAACTTCGTGAGAATTAACGCTCGTACAGCTACTAAGTATAAAAATTCTACCATACCACCATATTTAGCACGTGTTTTTTGTAAAGAGAGAGTCAGATGTCAGGAAAGAACTTACAAACTTTTTAAATCAGGAACTGAACTGCAGAGCATAAGCAAAGATTATTATTATTATTACATGTATTATCTATGATACTATCTACCTATACTTCATTATGTTTCCACCTTCATTCTGTTTATAGGGGTTTCACTATTATTACTATTTAAAATTCTAAGTGTGTACATACGTTAAATAACTATCCTAAAAAAATTTTATTAGGAATATCAAGAAAGGTCAAAAGCAAAATAAAAATAATGGCGAAACCAATAATGATAACATAAATAAGAATGAATATAAGGTAACTACAGTTTTACCATATAAGGAAGGGACATCTGAAACCCTTTCTACGTAGGATTCGCAGTAGAGCAGGAAGTGGAGTGGCATTTAAACCTACAAACTAACTCAGAGACAAGCTCTGTAGGCTAAAGGACCCGGTGGACTCAATTGAACAAAATAATATAATTTACAAAATACCTTGAAATGGCTGTGAGTGAAGTCAACTGCATAGGTCAGAATAGTAGATCAAGAGTAGTGAGATTGTCGGAACATAAGAACTTAGCTAAGGTTAGAATGGTTGACCCAGAGCGGATGAATAATTAGGAAAAAGCTCACACATTGTACTGCAAGCAATAACACACAACCACACAATAAGGTGGGTGGGAGATGGTTAAAATTCTAAGAAGTAATATAGGGAGGTGGAGAGAAAGAGAGGTTGATTACTTAATCCTGGTTCATCGAATCTACATCCAACACATGCAATAGAAGTGACTCAACCCAAATATCAGAAATATGGAAGATATTATTACCAGTCAAATCAGAGGAGGATAATAAATAATCTCAAAATTCTATTTCAATTCAAGTGCATTATAACATTCTAATAAGTTACTTATTATGACTATAAAAACACTCTTATTTCCCTTATGATTGTATTTCGTCAATAACACTCATATTATTATTTCTGAATGTACATTATCCTATTTTGATTTTTATTCAAATGTCTAATCATCAATTTTTACTCATGTATATAAATGAAGTAAAAAGTTGTGTGAGTGACTTGATATGATTATGAGTGGCAATAATTTGTGCTCGAAACGTGGTCATCAGTAAATACTACTGTATAACGCTGTGTGATTTTATCAAAATAAAATTTTATCCATAATGAAATTATACTCTACCACAATGCCCAAGTTTTATCCTTAAATTCAATAAGTCAGTCAGTTCTTCAATACGAGTCAAAAACTTGGCATGTCACGGAAAGCATTTCCAACAACCTACTGTCGACTTCCATCAACAACTGTCCCTGTCCCTGTCCACATACTGAAGATCAGATGGCCAGAAAGAATGAGCGACGAGAAACTTTCAGGAAGAGGAGGATTACAGAGAACCGGATAAAATGCAGATGTGTCTGTTGAAGTCCTATGTTCCATTCGGAAACCAAGGGAATAAAATTTAACGCGACAAAGAAACTACTCCGGTTTTAAACATTTTTAACTCAATGAAATTTAAACATTTTGGTGATTGATATATGCACTCAATTACACTCAAGTACATACTTACCCATGCTACTAGACAAAATGCAAACATTGAATATTTGAGGCATTTGAAACAGGTAGTAAATGTTATTTTCGTCATTATTGTGTTTTCTTTTAATTGAGATGTAATATATGTATTATATAAGAAGGGTATAGAAAGTTAGTTGCTATATTTAATAGTGTGCAAAGCTGATTACGTAATCCACAATACAATTGACTAAAAATCCACTGTTTCAATTTTGCGACTTTACGTTGAAACAATTTTCCACATATAATAATAATAATAATGATTTATCTTTAAGGTTCTGTAAGAAATTCAGTCGGAAGGAAATACCGTGGTTATTGTTGTGTGACACGGTGACCACAGGTAGAGGAGGAATCACATTAATGAATAGTGTGGGCTTTTGACAATAGCAATAATAATAATAATAATACTGACACAACGCTCGTATGTGTTTAAGTGTGTTTTGCATGCACCTCAACTAACTAACTAACACACACCCACACACGTTATGTGTGTCCGTATTGTCATTTGTAGTGATTTAGGAAGCAAATGCAAACGCAAAAGTTGGTTTAGCACTATTATGGTGGAACAACACACAGTTAAAATAGTATCCCATCGTGACAAAAATTAAAATTCATTACAGAATTCATCACACAAACCAATCTAAGATGCCTATCGAAGTACATATAGAGAGTGACATACAAACACACACACACAAACACGCATACATACTCAATCTCTGTAAGTACACACACTAACACACAGACGAACAGGTAATAGATAGACAAACATACAATGCTACACTAGATTATATATCGATCCATCATTCTTTATTTATTATTATTTCATTCATGCAGTCATTCATTACCTGACCGGAAAAATTCAAGTCATTATTTTAAAAATCCACCTACGTGTGTGTGATTGGTTAATATTGTGGACCAAGTCAAAGCATTAGCCATGCTGTAACAACATATATATATATATCCTGTAACGACAGTTGTTTCCTTTCATATATTATAAATAAAAGTAACAATTTTTATTTTGCTTTCTTAACAGGGGATTACTAAAACAAAACACGTAAGATTGTAGAGAAACTAACACCAAATGATATCATCTCGCCAAAATTTGTCTTCTATATGCCTTATTCAAATGTAAGATTGTGTTTAAAATAAAGAATGTTTTAAACAAAATTTTAAAAAATGGTCCTGATGACATCAGTTTTCTTTCAGTAAATCAATAGGCAATGAACCATCTTCCTACTACACCTAGGAGTGTGTGTGTTTTTGCAGTAGAATATAATTCCATGTTAGATACACTTATTTGATATATCAGTGTGATGGCGAGCTACCTAGAATGGTGGCCACATTGCAAACCTGACTGATAGAATTCAGTCTGCACCAAAGAAAGGACTAGACACGTCGCACTAGTTACTAGTGTCCAGTGTGAGACAGTATTAATATAACTGGATGACGTTTCCACTGCAATTTATTGCTCATATTCATATCGATGTATTTATGCGGCTCCATCTTAACGCTCTACGAGCTCGCCTTGTGACCAGGAGGTCCTGGGTTCGAACCCTGGCGGGAGTGTATTGATGAAGAGTCCCAAACTAGAGCCAAGTTAAACTTTAGGCACAACTAACTAACAATGGAGTGCGACAGCACCAATGACCTTGAAACGCTCACTGAGCAAGTTAGTGAAACCTAGCAAATAATGTTGTCATCATCAATAAAATATGCTCATCGAAGTGTTATGCTATTAAATGGGATATCTGGCAAGTTTCAGCTTAGGTTTGGGAAAGATTAAGTTACGGTTTAGGCCAAGAACAAGTTAGGGTTAGGTTAACCTAATAAAGGCGACATTAGGGTTGGTTCGAGTTAGATTACAGTTGGTTTTAGGGATATTTTCACGTTAGGATTAGGTTCAGGAAAGATTAAGGTTATCGTTAGGGTTATTGTATTGTTTCCTTTAGTACCTAGAGGAACATAGAGCTTCAGCCACACGTCTCCATTGCGTTCGGTTCTCTGCCAACGTTTTCACCTGGCTCCACGTCTGCCCACATGCTTTCATTTCCTCTTCACATGACCTCCTCCATGTCACCCTCGCATTGACGACCAACTCGCCGCTTCCCATTCGGGTTCCACTCGAGCAATGGCCTGGCGTGTGATGTCACTCAATTGATGGTTTTCTCAGAGTATGGCCAGCCAATCCATCTCCATTTCTTCCTGCATATTTGTTGCACAATTGGTTCCTGCTGAGTTGGTTCGCTCATTGCCAGAGATCCCTCCCTGTTGCTGATCTTTTCTGGCCAGCCATCTGATCTTGAGTAGTATTGAGCGAAGACAGCTGTTGATGAAGGTCTGTAGTTTGTTCGAAGTGGCCTTCGTGACGCGGCGCCAAGTCTCTGATCCATCGTATAGTAGCACTGACTTCACAATGGAGTTGAAAATCCGGGTCTTATTTTCATTTTCATGCTGATAAGTGCTGTTGATCTCCACACAGACCTGAAAGTAATGAAAGTTTGCCTTGCTTCCCCAATCCTCGCCTTGATATCCTCATCAGTTCCATCCGCCTGTAGTTGAAACGATGCTTCCGAGGTAGGTCGGTAGGTAAAGGAGGTTGCTTCTTTCAGATTCCTCCCATTTATGTTGATTGTTATTTTTGTGCTGTTGGCCAGGAATCTTCATCAACTCTGTTTTCTCTATGTTCACCTGAAGAAGTCCTATCTTTCTGGATGCTTCTTCTATCTCCAACTTGTTGCTTTTCACTTGCATATCTTCCAGTTTGTGGGAAATCAGACATATATCATCGGCGAAGTCCAGATCCTCCAAGTATTTTGTGTGGATCCATTTTACGCCTGTTTCCTCGCTTCCCGCCACTGTGTTTCGCACTATCCAGTCTATCGCAGTCAGGAAAATCATTGGAGATAGCCATCATTGTCTTACTCGCGTCTTCACTTCAAAGGATTCCGTGATTTTTCCGTTGGGGATTACGTGGCATGCATCATTGTCGTATAAATGTTGGATGAGATGTATAATTGTTGGCGGCACCCCTTGGTAGTAGCGAAGTAGTTGCCAAATCACTTCTCGATCCACGCTGTCTGCTGAAGGCCTTTTAGAAGTTGATAAAGTTGAGGTAGAGAGGTGACTGCTATTTCAAGCTCTGTTCAATGATGATACGTAGTGTTGCGATTTGATCGATGCATGACTTGTTTCTCCTGAATCCAGCCTGTTCCGGTCGAAGTTTTTCATCCAGGGCGTTTTTGGGTAAATTACATGGCGAAGTGAAAAAATATGTACAGAGTTAATTATAAAGCCCTGTGAATACGTATTGATATGATTTCTGTTATTAATACCGTATCACTGATTGTGTGTGTGTGTGTGTGCTACATCGAATGAACTCACCTAACACTTGTATTCTGTTTTGTTCTTGTCTTATACCAACGAAATGTACTCACTTAAAGTAATTTGGTGGATGGTGACTAGCAGTGGAATCCAATTCGATGCGCATTTCATACTATTTTGGGCTCATCTTCTGGATATAGCCGCATTCTCTAATGACCGATGGGTGGTTTCCCCGCTGATGTTTGAACTTAGTACTCACCGTTTCAAAGGCCAAAGTGTTATCCACTGAACCACTTGAGCCATCTCAGCCACCTATTGTGGGACGTGTATCAGTTATTGTTTAATTTAATCCAGACTTTTCCACTGATTGATCAGACCGAAGTGTTTGGCCTGTGTTGATCTATTGGCTCCCAGTACGGAGGCGCTGACGATTTCTGAGGATTACACTTGAAATAATTTGGGGGATAGTGACTTCAAGTTAAATCCTCAGACATCCTCAAACTGTGGTGAGAGATGGTTGCCAACCAAATTGGTAGACAGTAATTGACGTCAGTGTTTATATCTCAAATATTAGTCATGTGAAAACAAGGTCAAAGATGGACAGCAGACTTTGCGTAGGCGGATACAGTTAGCATATGGATGATCTAACACAGCCACAAAGAGATGAAAGATTAACTTTCTGTGAGAAACAACCAATCAAAAGACTGTATTTTCTACTAACATTAATCTACAATAATGTACATTAAAATCTATAAATATGTGTTGATTTTCCTTAATAAACGATCTGTTGCCTGACCCTTGTCTTCTGTCGTTACAAAAGCATCTGGATAGGGAGTGGACATGTCAAAAGAGGCTGAACACCTTGGTCCAGTCAATCAACAGAAAATAAATTGGATTAAGTAATAAGTGTACTCACCGTAGAATATTCTACAACTTAAGTGTAAGGTTTTATGTCCAAAACGTGACGTCACAGCTATGAATATGACTTTGAATTAACGTGTGGAAGTTATGCATAATTATATATAAAAGATGACTGTTTATAAATCATTTTAGGGCTCACTATTTATTAATACTGTAACGACAAAAGATGAGAGAATTTGGCGATAGAATTCTTTAATGGCCACCCGATGTATATATATATATATAAAATACGTCGATATTGTGCTACTACCTTTATCTTCGGTATTGTGTTTCTTTTTGCCCTTCTTCCTGTTCTCCAATATTGTTTCACAAGTATCGTTCATTTCTTCTCTTCACTATTAATTCCATCTCCCCAGCTGTTCGATATTCCTGCAGATGATATGCACAACTTTATATGTCTATATACTACTCACAAATCTTATCAGTAGCACACATTACAACAACACAAGGTGTTTATGTATAGGAGGAGAAACAGAATGCAGTCCAATTGATACCAGATAAAAATAAAATTTTGATAAGACAGCTTAATCCCAATGTAGGCGGTACACGTCTTTGTGCGTGGGTGAAGTAGCAACAAAGCTTTGTTTTGGTACACTTTTGAAGATAGCTTGATAATAAATCACCATTGTGAATTCTTATGTGACAAGTAAAATGCACTTTTTTGTTGTTTGCTTATTTTTGTAGGATGCACAATGACTGACGTAGATGTGAATTTTGCAAGGAACAGATAGAAGTTTTTATAGGGTGATTCATGTATTGACGGAAGTTAGAATTCATGGGCCA